ATTAGCACCGCACTCTCCCGAGTGAGCCACAGGGCCGGCCCTCTATCTCCTCTTTTAATAAAGTATTGCTTGCTTTACTGCTGGGTACATTGTTCATTTCTTGTGGAATATACTAAAAAGCATATGTACTTCACAGGGCCTGGTTTTCCAAAGCCTTGCAGTTTCAAATATTGACCTTGCAACGACAGGAAATTTCCCTCAGGCTATGAGTCTCTGTTGCAAGATAAGGATTGTGGCACAGCAGGTTGCTGGCTCAAAAGACAGACTAGTTACTGATTGTTATGTAAATACTGCTGTTAAGAAGGAATGTTTGCTAAGATCAAACTGTTGTTGAGAGGACCACTTAATTGTCTACTGGAATGTCATCTGGCTTGTTTCACTGAAAGTTACCAGCCTATACTGTTAAACTATAACCCCACCTATGTCTCTTCCTGTAACTTCCTGGTCTGGAAAATAAATGCAGGAAGAGAACCCCAATTTTGTGTTAATTTCCCAAGGAAGGGATGCCTCTCTCTTGAGGGTTCCACTGGGAGATTAACCACTTCAGGGCTTCTCACTGCTCGGAAGAGATGGGCTTTGAGTAATCCTTTGCATCTCCGTCACCCATGGGAAGTGGGGTGACAAATCCGTGGGGGGCGAAGCAACACAAAGCAACAATTTCTATGACTTTGGGACCCAAGAGCCTAATTCGGTAACATTTGAGCCTAGAGAACACCACATGAATTCAATAGTACTCCCTCCAGTTTACTCCTTGGGCCTGAATGCAGCCTGGAATCTGGGGTGACTGATACAGGGAGACTTTCTAGGGCTGGCACTAGCAATTTTAAACTAAATCTCTATTGTTGCTTTGTAGCACTCAAGGAATCTTACAGCTGGTGCTGGCTGTGAAGTGCCTTAAAAACCTATAAAGATTTCTGCTTTTGCTAACAAAGACTGTCTGCTTCAGCTATGACTACCTAAGAAAAGCCACTCAGGATACCAGAGACCTTTGTTGAGCCACCTTGCAGCCCCCAAGGTGCTGCTGCTAGGCAGCCCCTGTAGCCATCCATGGGGCTACTACCTACAGGTAAACCTTTGCCTGGTCTGTCCCTGCTTACAAAGTCTTCACTGCTCTCCTGAGTCACCTCATGAGATTCTTGTGCCTTTTGCTATTGCCATTCATGGGTGCAGCCCTACCACTGTAGAAACAGCCACTGGTCTATGAACAAACCCACAATAAGCTCATGTCACTCTCCAAGGTCTCAGAACCATCGGCCCTGAGACTGCAAACCACTTTCCCAGGCTCAGTAGTTACGTTTAGGAAGTGGCCCACTATGAGTCTCTTTGATCTAGAAAACACTCTGCTCGCTTCACCCAAGGTTGAAAGCCACAGGGACTGGTCTCACCAAAAGTCTCTCCTGTGAATACATGACTCCCATACGTTTGTTTCTTTGTTTTTAGTTTTCTTATGCATAAGCCCAGCCCCAATTGTTTGTGTCTCTGAGAATTTGCTCTGAAACTCTAGACTCCCCCAGTGCCTGTTCACAGACCCCTCTAACAGCAGGCTTGCACCCAAGGGAAGTACATGGAACTGAGTTAAGTGTGCCTCATTTATTCCCCCCAAATTTACAAGTCAGACAAGGCACTTCATGTCTCCCAGAATGGAGTGAGTTAAGGAGCAAAGCTGGAGTGGCCTGCATATGGAAGAAAACAAGTGTCCCTCCAACACAATCATTTATTAATTTATTTATACAAATTAAAAGTGATTCTGTTCAGTTAGGGTAGCCAGATTTAGCAAATACAAATACAGGACTTCTAGTCACATTTGAATTTCAGATAAGCAATGACTACATTTTTAGTGTAATTATATCTCAAATATTATATGGGATATAGTTACTTGCTTTTTTAATCTAAAATTCAAATTTAACTGGGCACTCTATATTTTATCTGGCAACCCTATACTAAATGTCAGGTACTGTGGTAGGTGCTGAGACTATAATGTGTGCATGACATAGTAGTCCCTGCTTTACAGAAGGGGAGTAGAAAACGTAATACTTATGGCCCCAGATGGGCAGTAAAATTCAAAAGGCTGTTTTCCACGCATCTCTTTCTAACCACAGGAAACAACTGTTAGTAGTAATCATCCACATCCTCACCTTTGACTATGAAATGAATTTGCATTTGTTTGTGTGTAGAATTAGTCTATGACACTCTACAACTCAAAGCTATCCATATTCTTTTTTTTTTTTTTTTAAAGATGACCGGTAAGGGGATCTCAACCCTTGGCTTGGTGTTGTCAGCACCACGCTCGGCCAGTGAGCAAACCGGCCATCCCTATATAGGATCCGAACCCATGGCCTTGGCATTATCAGCACCGCACTCTACTGAGTGAGCCATGGGCCGGCCTAGAAGCTATCCATATTCAACTGAACCTTCCTTTTGTTGATGGCTGTGCTGGCCACAGAGAAATCAAAGGTCAGTCCCAGGCATGTTTTTCCCTAAAGCTATTTACAATACTGAGAAATACTGTCAAAGGGTAGGAAACTATACTTTGCTGTGATGAGCTCTGTGGTGAAGGAAATGAAGTGTTGCTAACACACATGAGGGGAACACTTAGCTCAAACTTAGGAGGTCAGAAGAAGTAGCATCCACACTTTACAATAATTAGTTTACAATGACCCTGTCCTATGAATGAACTGAGTACAATTTAATAAATAGTTTAATTTAATTTAAATAAATACATATAACCAACACCTCTTCTCCAGAATATTGGAGAAAACTTCAACCAAAAGTGACTAAGGATATATCGGAAACACATCTGATCCTCTTCTGTTGTCATCCTGCTCTTTACTGTTTGTTGGTCTTTCACTAATTTAGCAAGTACTTATTGACAAATTAGTATGTGACAAGTGCGTTGCTAGGAATTGAAAACATAATGGAGAACAAACCTGACTTGTTTTCAGCCCTTGTGATTCTACAGTCTAATGAGAGAAATGGACACATAAATACATATAGAAAGACAAAATTTGGTAACTTCCATAGGGGAAAAAAATGGAATGCTATTTGTTTATAAAAGAGGATGTCTTTTCATTACATGCTCAGGGTTAGCATTTGATCTGAAATCATCTTCCATTTCTAATGTATTGGTCACTTGGAATAGTCATAACTGTCTATCCCAGTAGTTTGACTGCTGAGAATGGTCTGTCTCTAGGTCTAGAACATGCCTTCCCAACAGGGTGATATCACTCTCAAGAGAAAAAAGATCGGTTCTCAGGAAGGTGAAAAAATATCTTACCCTTTTTATGTATAAAGCATAACTACTACATATACAGCACAGAAACAGATATATAGAACATCTGTGGTATTAAAATGTCATGGAGGAGAGGGAGGCCAGAATAAAGAGTTCTAAAAAGCTCTTTAGAGGCGTGATAATGAAAAAAAAAGTCTGAGAAACACTGGCCTAGAGTTTCTCATGTCCATTCAATAGTCCCTTAAAAAATATTTATTAAATGCCTACATTTAAGGAAAATTGTTAGAGGCACAGAGGATGTAATGGTGGTCTATTAGACTGTTTTCTGTCGCTTATAACAGAATACTTGAAACTGGGTAATTTATAAAGAAATGAAATTTAATTATTATGGTTTGGGAGCCTGGGAAGTTCAAGGTCCAGGGAACACATCTGGTGAGGGCCACCTTCTGGGTGGGAACTCTCTACCGGGTCCCATGGTGACTCAGGCAGTCACATAGTGAGAATGGCAAGAGCTCTTGAACATGGTCACTTGCTTTTCTTATAAATCCATGAGTGTCACTCCCATGCCAATCTAGTAAACCATTAACCCATTACTCTATGAATGGATTAATCCATTCACAAGGGCACAGTTCAAGGCCCAACCTTTCAAATATCATAATAGGATTTCCCACCTTCTTAACACTGTTATCAAGGGGATCAAAAGTTTCCAACTCATGAATTTTTGGGGGACATTCAACCCACAGCAGATGGATAAGACAAATATGGGCTCTTAAATATTAGTGAGTGAGAAGACAAAAAAACAAGCAACAAAATAGAGAAAATAATTACAAATTGTGATAAATGCATACAGGGCCTGAAACAGAAAATAATGGGGTGGGACCTCTGTGATTGCAAGGCAAAGGAAAGTCTTTCTGAGGAGGGCTCTGGCTTTAAAAACAGGGGTTTCTATTTGTATGCTCGTTCATTTATCTCTTAATTTGCACAGATCTGGGTGGAATGTAGGGGCAGTCCCTTTTGCTCATATGCAAATTTCTATTATTTTCCTGTTTAGAAGCTTCATGTCAACTTCTATAAAAGTCAAAAAGGGGCCGGCCTGTGGCTCACTCGGGAGAGTGCGGTGCTCATAACACCAAGGCCACGGGTTCGGATCCTATATAGGGATGGCCGGTTGGCTCGCTGGGTGAGCGTGGTGTTGACAACACCAAGTCAAGGGTTAAGATCCCCTTACCGGTCATCTTTTTTTTTTAAAAAAAAAAAAAAAAGAAAAGAAATAAAAGTCAAAAAGGCTTTTGCATCTGCTTTGATACCTTGACTTTGTGTAACTCATACCACAAAGTCATCAGGCATGTCTATGTTAGGATCCTCGTGTAGAACCAAAAGCTGTGTGAATTTAAGAGAATAAAGGGGTTTTCCAATTGAGAAATGAAGAAAAAGTTATTTGAATACTAGCAAATTCACAGCTTGGCGTTTTCAGAGAACACACACATAGCCTTGTAAATGTTTTTTTCTGAGAGACCTGAACTGTTAGAAGATGACCAACATCTAGAAATGCACAACTGCTAGTATTGAAGTACAAACAGCATTTAGGAAGGCAGCCACGTTCATAAGTTGAGAACCCAAGGCAGGGTGCAATGCTAATTTCTTCTACTTCTGCTTTTAATTCTTACAGGTCTCACCTGAATAGTCACCCTCCATCCTCTTTCTTGAATACAAGATAAGCCTGACTTTTGGTAAGACAGACATTCCCTGCCCTTAGCAGTGCCAGGTCCCCATGCATCTGAGGCTGCTGCTACTGCTGATCCTGGGTGAGTAGATGGGCTGGGCGGGGACAGTGACCTCAGTTCCTAAAGCTGGCCAGGAGAAAAGTTAAGGAGCTTCTATTTCTGCTTCCACTTGGGGTTCAGAGACAGATAGCAAGAAATGGGAAATGAGCAGAGCTGGGTTCCCAGGAAAACCAAAAGGCCCTGAATGCTACCATCAGAGCAAGCCAAGTATGTTGCCCTTGGTTTCTCACCCATTGCTTTTTTTTCTCTCATAGGAACCTTGAACTTTTCTTTCTGCCAGACCACAACTCTACATTCCTTTTTCTTATCCTCAAACAAAATAATTTTTCAGATAAACATTTACCTTCAAAACTGTGGCGAGTGAGAGGTCTACTGAGAACCATAACTCCCTTCCTGAGGTTTTAAGCCAAAATGTAACCAGAGACTTAAAATATAGGAGGAACAGTAGGAAGAAAGTTCACGACATGAGCATAGGATAAGCCATTTCTCCAAGTCCTTGCCTGCCTCTGCACTGCTCAGTTCAGGCTAGAGAAGAGACGGAAGGAAAGAAGTGTGATGCAGTAGCAAAGAGAGGAGCCAGGGCTGTGGCCACGAGTCATGCCATGTTTATAGCAGATTTTTTCCTTCCTTAAAAAGCTATTAAACTAACCATTTTTTAAATGAATAAATAAATAAATAATTTACAGGCTACTTTTTGTTGTTGTTTAGGGGTGATGGGTGATATAGAATGGGAGTGAAGAATTGGGAAAGAAAAGCTAAAGAAGCAGTCATGGCTGGGTTGGTTGGAAAATTTCTGAGTGTCTAATTGAAAAGATTCAGGAAACATTGCTCTGTGCTAATCTTTGAATCTTGGCTCCCTCACAGCTCCGGAAAGAGAACAATCAGGTGAGTTTCCTCTTCTCTTTGTTCCTCCCGGCCTCTAAGCCTTGGTCCCCTCGGCCAGTTCAGCCTGTCCCAGCACCTGTAAATGAGGGCTGCAGAGTTGTGCCAACGTCAGTGGCCTTGCCGCTCTGGCGTCCAACCTGTCACTATGCTGGGGGAATAGACCCTCTTCTGACTTCTCCAGTCTCCAGCTCTTTCCCCATTACGGAGATGCCTCGGTGTAGATAGGAAGGAAGCATTCACAGAGGGAAGGGCAGAGGCAGCAGGCTGACACCGAGAGACAATCAGATCTGACCTCCTCTATTCCCTAAGACCTCTCCCTGTGTATGTCCAAGCTAGTGCCGCTATGAAAGGACATAGAAATAGCACCCATTCACAGAGGAAAATGCTACAGTAAAATCCTTATACATCTTCAAAAGGAGCTCATGTCACTGGGCCTCGGTGTCTGGGTCCATCAGCCTGTTGCAAATCTATGCACAAGTCTCGCTTCTCAAGCAGCGCATCCTCCTTTGTTCAGATAGTTTATATCCCTCAATTATTGATTGTGTTCAACTTAGAAAGTGGAGAAAAGTTGCCTTCCCCATAGAATCTCAAACTAAGCAAAGCTTAAAAGTAATGAAAGTGAAAAATATCTTGTTTGTTCAATGTTAACAACCAAGTATGAAGTGGTATTCTAGAGTCTAGAAAATGTTTCCGCAGTATGTACATCCCAGGTTCACTTTTTCCCTGACAGGAATGCATAGAACACTTCAGAATCAGCCCACCCTCTGAGGCCTTCACAGTGTTTGTGCAACTACAAATGACATCTCCCAAGCTTTTCTCAGCCCATACCAGGGACCTGAGAACTGTCCCCTAGGACACCCACTTGCCCACCTCTAGGCTAGGCAGAGGAAGAGGAAGAACAGATTCTGTCCAGTCATTTCCCCAGGTTGTTTCTGCTCCATTTCCAACACTGGTTCTGACTGGGAATTAGCCCATGGAAGCTCCTAGCTGCAGGCTGGGCCTCCTCTGTTCTGTACCCTCTCATTCAACTGCACCTGTCTCCATGTTTCCACTTCCTTTTCAGGAGTGCCTCCAAAAGCTGTACTTTTCTTCAGTCCTCCATGGTCCCCGACCTTTGAAGGAGAGAGCGTGACTCTCACATGCAGGGAATCCCATTTTCCAGCCAGGGAAGATGTATATTGGTATTATAATGGAAACTCATTTAAAAAATCCAAAGTGATTCAAATTCGAAAGTCTGGACATTACCAATGCAAGACCCAAAGATCTTCCCTCAGTGACGCTGTGCATGTGGAATTTTCATCTGGTGAGGAGGGAGAGGGGAGTCTCTGAAGTCAAGCCACCAGACAGTGTCTGAGGGTGGGGTTAATGCAGGGATCCCAGGCAGAGTTGCAAACAGGCTCGGGGATGTTCAATGTGCTGACCACAGGATGAAGATAAGGAGACAGGGCAGTAGCACTAGTCATCTCCTCTATTCGGAGAAATGTTGGCAACCCAGAGGCCACCAGGAAGAAACAGACCCAGGTCTGAAGAAAGGTATGGGATAAAGTTCTTCTTTGCTTAAGGACACGTGTGCACATTTCTCCAGGACATCTTCTGGGAATTAGTTCACTCTCCCAGGGCAAGGGAGAATGGGGTGTTAAGGCCATGTGGAAATGTTGCTAGGGGACATTGGGAGGCATGTGTGGGCTGTAGCTCTTGCCTGATAGGCAGAGATGAGAATGAAGAAAGAAGCAGCAGGGGCTACATTGAGTGTGTTCCTCCACTCTTTGCAGACTGGCTGATCCTCCAGGCTCCACACCCTGTCTTTGAAGGAGACAATGTAGTTTTGAAATGCCAAGGCAAAGATGAAAATAAAATTAGTGAAAGGAATTACTACAAGAATGGAGAACGACTTGATATTTCTAAGAACTCAAACTCCATCTTACTAACTTCAGTCTCCAGGGACGATAGTGTATATCAATGCAGTGCTTCAGGGAAATATCTTTTGAGACAATGGAAAAAAACTTCAAAACATCTAAGGATCCAAGTTCAAGGTAATGTTTATACTCCTGCGGGTAATAGGGCTTGGCAGGAAACAGAATGGGTGGGATTGAGGGAAGGTGTTCATCCGTGAGGACTTTATGAAAAGTCTCCTCCTACAGCCCAGCCATAGCAGGGAGATGTTTCCATCTGCATCGTTCTCTATCTAGTGATGGCTGGTGCTAAGAACTCAGGTGCATTTCTCTGGGAGTCCTGAGCTTTGCTGCCCTGCAATTGTGTTTTTTCTTCTTTCTAGAGCTCTTTCCAAGTCCTGTGCTGACAGCTAGCCCCTCCTTGCCCACGGAGGGGAGCCCCATGACTCTGACCTGTGAGACCCAGCTCTCTCCACAGAGGCCAGATGTCCAGCTCCAGTTCCGCTTCTTCAGAGATGTCCATGTCCTGGGGTCAGGCTGGAGCAGCTCTGCAGAGCTCCAGATCCCAGCCACGTGGAGTGAAGACTCAGGGTCCTACTGGTGCGAAGCAGAGACAATGACTCCCAGCATTGTAAAGAGGAGCCAAAGATTCCAGATACACGTGCAGAGTGAGTGTCTAAGGGGCTGCTCTTCCAGAGTGAGAGCTGAGGAGAGGAGAGCAGAACAGTGCCATCTCTTGCCCCCTGCAATGGTAGACTTAATAGAGAGGAGCACCCAGCTATCCTGGTATCCTTCCTTCTGTAGGCTCAGCATTGGCCTAAATTTCCTAGAACATTCTCTTCCATATAGGTAAGGTAATAGTAGCTATTGATCGGTTACTAGGTGCCCAACCCTATGGAACTCAAAAGATGGCAGAGATATACAGGATATATTCTCTCATGAATCAATAGACAACTAGAAACACAGCTGACCGCATGCAGTTTCGAGAAGTCCTTATGATGCTTCCATTTGTTGACCAAAACTCACACCGAAATAATCAGAAAAGAGAAAAATGAATATGATATGCAATAGTCAGAGAAGAATGTGGGGACATGGAGGTGGGACTGAAAGAGTCTTGAAGGATACGAGAGAGGTTTGGATTCTGAGTAAAGTCACATCAGGATAGAAGTAACATCTCCAGTCTTTTCTATTATTCTATAGTCTATTGGTGCATCAAGGATTCCTTACAGATAAATGTCCATAAAATGTGACTGCAGGCAACATTAGGTTTAGGAAGATCTGGACCCTGTAACCACATTCCCCAGGGATGGGAATCTTTGTGAGAGTGGGGAGGGATATTGCTCTCTTTATAATAATATGCAGAATCAATTTCTTATTTCCTACTTTGGACCCCTGCCTATTGTATCTGCTGCTATTTGCCTATTGATGGCAGCACCAGTCTTCTCCTTGACCTTGAGGTCCCTGCCATTGGGACCATCACATGTCATCCTGTGTCCTCCCAGGAGTCCCTGTATCTGATGTGAATCTAGAGATCCAGCCTCCTGGGGGGCAGCTGGTTGAAGGAGAAAACCTGATCCTGATCTGCTCAGTAGCCAAGGGCACAGGTACTATCACATTCTCCTGGCACAGAGAGGGAATAGTACGAAGTGTGGGCAGGAAGACCCAGAGCTCCCTGATGGCAGAGCTGCAGATTCCCAACATGAAGGAGCACAATGCAGGGCGATACTACTGTGCAGCTGACAACACTTACGGCCCCATCATCAGCAAGCGGATTACAGTCACTGTGAGAAGTAAGTTTCTGATTCCTTTTACTCAGCCTTAGTTTGCAAGCCAGGGTTTAAGTTCTCTGTCAACTGCAAGGATCTTCTGAAGGGGGCTCAGGAACAGAAATGTGAAGATTTAAAAGGTACTCAAGGAATGGCAAAGATGGAAAAATAACTTGAAGACACCCTACTCCTTGTGGAGAGGACTGAGTAGCGATGAAAACAAAAGTACTCAGGATTACTTCTCACAGTTTTGGGACAATGCTTCTGATTATTAGATAAGGAAAGTGTGGCCAGTGGGAAACAGAAACAATCAAGGGATGTGTCTATTTCTAGGCTCCTTGAGCGGGGCTATGAATCTGTCACAGCATTGGAGTCCCTTTCTGACAGCCCTTTTGTCTCCCTCAGTTCCAGTGTCTCGCCCTGTCCTCACCCTCAGGATGCCCAGGACCCAGGCTGTGGTGGGGGACATGGTGGAGTTTCATTGTGAGGCCCTGAGAGGCTCCCCCCCAATCCTGTACGAGTTTTATCATGAGAATGTCAACCTGGAGAGGAGTTCAGCCCCTTCTGGAGGAGGAGTGTCCTTCAAGCTCTCCCTGACCACAGAATACTCTGGAAACTACTCCTGTGAGGCTGACAATGGCCTGGGAGTGCAGCACAGTCACAGAGTGAGTCTCAAAGTCACAGGTAAGCAGGATATGGCCACAGCAGTTAACAGCCAACAACAGGCTATGTCTTCTCACGAACACAGCTCCACTGGGGTATTTGCTGGCATGATATCCCAGCAGATACCCCACTTTTTCTGCCTCCACCTAGGAGTTCTGGGATTCTTTCTTGTGATTACACACTCAGTAACAGACCATTCCTTTATTTCTTCTGTCATTGTCATCAATAGCCATATAAACCACACAGTTTTTTTTCTAGTAGAGGCACAGAGACTTTCCAAAATACCAGATATATGGTGATAGTTCAACAATTACTGACTGTATTAGTCAGAGTTCTCCAGAGAAAGAAAATCAATAGGATATGTTATAAATATAAGAGAAGGGCTGTACTAGAAGAATTAGCTCACATGATTGTGAAGAGAAGCCTCACAATAGGCCGTCTGCAAACTGGATGCCTGTATGTGGCTCAGTCCAAGTCCAAAGGCCTCAAAACCAGGGAAGACAATGGTGTCCTTGGTGTAAGTCCCAGAACACAAAAGTCAAAGAGTCTCAAGCTGTGACATCCAGACATGAGAGAAGAGCATATCCTAGATCCAGCAGATAGAGGGAGCAATTCGCCTTTTTTTTTTTTTTTTTTTTCCTTTTTTTGTTTATTCTGGGCCCCCATTGGATTGGATGGTTCTGGCCCATATTGAGGGCAGATCTTTCCCACCTAGTCCACTCAGGTTCTCATGCCAATCTCTCCTGGAAACACCCTCACAGACACACCTAAAAAAGATAGCTTTACCACGTTTCTCGGCATTCCTTTATCTAATCAAGTTGACATCTAAAATTAACCTTCACACTGACAAAGGAACATGGTTTAAAAATTCTATTTCTGAATTCCTTTGTCCAGGAAAAAATGACCATGCCATTTCTTGGCATTGTTTTCTGCCCCTACCCTGATCCAATCTAAATCCCTACTTGGTTCCCTGGACTGTTAAGCAAAGTGTCTCTTCTTGTGGATAACCCCATCCATCAGAGCAGCAGGGCTCTCTCGTGGCCTCCAGATTCCAGTGATCTATCTGGCCTTTTCACTTTCTCCAAATGCCTTCTGACTCTTTGAGGTCAGAGGTCTGATTTAATCTGATGTCCTCAGTATCTCCTAACAAAATTTTTCTTCACCAGGGGCACCAAGTCATCTTGTATTTCTCACTTCCAGCCCATATTGGCAATGAGCCATGAACCCAGCAACTTAGGAGAGATCCTCCCCACCCCCTGGCCCAAACCATCATTATTTCAAAGTGCCCAGAATTTGGAGGGTGGAATAGGGCACCGGGACATAGGAGAAGATAGCAGGATAAAAGATATAGTGATTCCCAGTGACTCAAACCTTTACATTCTCTGGATTTTGCCATAGATTCTTGTTCTCCAAAGATTCCAAACTGTTAGAACACTTAATGACATTTTGATTAATAATGACCCTTCCTATGGGTCAAACGTGGGTTATGACTTAGGGAGGTATTAGAACCTGGGAGTGCCAGAGAATATGCTGAAACTGGGATTCCAGTCTCAAGCAAGAAAATATTTTTTATACGACCTTGAATGAGCCTCTTTTCTAGTCTTGTCCTCAGTATCCTCACCTATAAAATAATTGAGTCTCATAAGTCATGGAAGTACAAAAATTTTTTATCCCACATTACTTTCAGTCAAAAGTATTGAATATGCACCCCGAATATTTATTTACTAATTATATGTATGAGTGTACTAACTTAATGTGCATATTGCAAAACAGATAAATATTAATTAAATAAGGATGAAATAAGCATTTTGAAAACTTTGACTTAGAATCTTGGACTAAAATTATAATTGAATATACTTCATTTACTTTGAAAATCTTAGTTTACTTCTTGTGGTACAGTTATCTGAGGTCTGTTTCTCAGGTTGGATTATTCCAGCTGGTATCAGTGGATGTTGTTGCTTAAAAGCAATCTTACCAATATATGTAGATCCAAGTGGAAGCCGAGCATCACTGTGGCTCTTTCAAATCCTTGGTACTCATTTTTCAATCCCATACACTGTGTAAAGACTTTCATTGAAATTTGGCTAGTAAGTTTACATTTTCCTTGATGTCAATCAGCCATTCTTTTAAAGTAAGTGGGAAGTGCTGCATGTTTGAATTTATAACAAATGGGTTCAAATGGATTTGGAAGAATGATAAACTTGTTGCAACATTCTGTTTCCATGGCTTTTTTAAGGGTGCAGATAGGAATTTTTAAAGTTTACTTATTTACATTTCCTGGTAATAAGACTACACAGAAATGTAAATATTTTCAACAATATTTTATGAAATATTATCTCCATGGCATGAATTTAGAAAAGTATTAACAACATGAGTACCGTTAAAAGGTCACATGTGACATGTGGCCTGAGCAGGAGCACCAACATGAATATTAGTAAACCTAAATGTGTTTCTTACTTTCAAGCTGGAAACTAAATGTTCTTAATATATTCTTATATTTTCTTTTCACACCCCAATGAGACATCTTGCACCCCACGTTGGAGACCACTGAACTTGATGATAACCATGGTCTTGGTCTCTTTCAGCCCTAGAATTCTCCAATTTTAGCGGAATGTGCATATGATGCCAGAAGTTCAGTGACCCCTGGAGGAAGGCATGCAATGGAAAAAACTGGGAAACTGCTCCCAGAATAAGAAGCCCAGAGATGTGGGTGGAAAGGCACACCAAGATGCACAAAGCACCATATAAAGCCCTCAGACCCTCTGCATCCCGCCCAGGTCACTTTACATTGCAGAGGACACACAGAAGGGCCAAACAAACCATCTGTTTCAATTTAGCAGGAATTTACATTTCCGGTACTAGGATTTGGCATCTCTACCATGAGGAGATAGCAGGTGCTATCTTTCTTGCTGCCAGCAGATGGCTCATTTTCAAGTCTAATCATTGCTGTTCAGGGTAAGGTCCCCACATTCACACTCACTCCCCTTTACCAATCTCTGAAGAAAATCAGGCTGAAGATCTTACCCACCTTCTCTTGCCAATGACGCACACAGCTTATACCTAAAGCACTGCACACAGATTGGTTCATCCAGGTTTACTCACAACGTAGCAGAAACAGCAATCTGACAGTTCACATTCCACACTAATGGTTTTCTATTCTTCTCGGTGTCCTATTTCTATACACGTGAATTAAAATGGAAATCATTGTTGCTAGTGCTGTATCTGGACATTTTTGTGCCAATTTGTATCAATTCAGTCATCTATTCAATCAATAATTGGTGAATTATTAAGCACTTTTACATGGCAGGCTAAATTCCAGCAGCTGGAAATATAGGAATGAACAGATAAGTCTCCCTTCTTATGGAACTTATGTTCTATTGAGGGAATCAGATACACAACAGTGCTAGATAGATGAATGGGTAGATAGGTAGATGGTAGGTAGTGCTAAATGCTCTGTAGAAAAATAAAGCAAGGTAATTGGGTGGAGAGTAATGAGGTCCTACTTTAGACAGGTGTGAAAGTCTTGGTCTTAGAGCTAAGATTCAGGAATGATCAGAAAAAAACCTTGATCTTAGTTATTATTTCTGTTGATAATAACACCTGTCATTTATTGAACACTTTACACACATTATTCTTACTAAATAGCTTGAGACATAATCTATTATTAGCTCCATTTTACAGAGTAATAAACTGAAACTTAGAGAAATTAAAAATCAATATTACAGAGGCAGAGAAAGAATTAAAGCCCAGGCTTTTCTGAATCCAGGTCCATGCGACTACTACTAAACTATGCTATGTGTTCCTTTATTAAGTTCTCTTAAATACATACTTAAGCAAAACTGCCAAAGAACTATTTTTCCTCCCTCAGTTCCAGTGTCTCGCCCTGTCCTCACCCTCAGGGCCCCAGGGGTCCAGGCTGTAGTTGGCAACATGGTGGAGCTTCACTGTGAAGCCCTGAGAGGCTCTCCTCCGATCCTGTATTGGTTTTATCATGAGAATGTCACCCTGGGGAACAGCTCAGCCCCCTCTGGAGGAGGAGCATACTTCAACCTCTCTCTGACTGCAAAACATTCTGGAAATTTCTCCTGTGAAGCCGCCAATGGCCTGGGGGCCCAGCGCAGTGAGGCAGTGACACTCAAAGTCACAGGTGGGTTAATGGTACCTGGACTAAAGGTTACAGTTATGGTCAATAAAATATTTTTCCAATACATTGTACATATTCTACCAGTGTCAAGGAGTTTTTGAACATTCACACCAAGGCCTAGAGCTTCTGGAGATTGATATTGATTTCATGGAAGAGAGGGAAAGGAAATAAAATTTAATCTTATATTCTGCCAACCACCCTTTAGAGGCCACTGTTTTGAATAATTACAAATTATACTGGAGGTAATTCAAATGGAGAAAGAAGAATTTGGCAAATACCTGCCCTGATAGATCTCTAGCTCCTACCCTGCATGGCTTTTGTCTAGATCCAAAAATCTTTGCTACTGAAACTCAAGTATAGATCTCCCCACTCAGGGACTTCCAGGATCAGAACTGGCCTTACCACTGCTGGAGTCATCGGGGGGCTGCTCAGCATCCTTGGTCTCGCCACTACTGCCGCTCTGCTGGGTCACCTCAGGACCCAGAGGAGATTGGGTGGGTGTCTATGTCTTACCTTTTGATGTTGTGATGTTTTCCATTGCTATAAAAATTCGGAGTTGTATAATGCATCCTATAAGTGCCAGTTATTCCCTTCCAAGTACTAGACACTCAGTTCTACAGTACTGCTCACTGTCATTCTGTATGTGATAGTAACAGAAAAGATAGGATAAACTTCTCAATGAAGTTCTTACCTCATGTATTTAATTTGAGATTTAAGTGAGATAGCAGAGTTTTGCTTCCAATTAAAAATTAAGAAGTTGAGTATTTACTGTTTCATCTCTATCCCAAAGCTTACTGAAAACAAAAAGGACAAAAAAAGTAGAGAAACCCCTTCATTTCTAACAAAGAATGAATAATCATCATAGTACAAACCATAAACTCTGAGATATATTTGGATACCAGCCAAATATAGTGAAACTTGGATACAATTAATAGAGAATGCTGAGAATGAGATTAAAAATTCAATTTCTGATTGTTGATAGTATGTAAAATACAAATGGTTTTTGTACGTTAATTACATATCCTGAAACCTTGATAAACTCACTTATTAGTTCTAGTATCTGTTTTATAGATTTTTTCAGATTTTCTGCATGGATGATCATGTTGCCTGCTAATAAAGACAGTTTTACTCCTTCCTTCCCAGTCTTTTTTTTTCCAAATTCACATAGCTATTAAGAGTCAGAGTTAGACCTTAATTAGGGTCTTCCTAACCCTTGAGTTCATGCTCTCTCCAGTATACCTTGATGACTTGTGAAAGGCTAATTACACCTCCAACTTTCAAATTACTTTTCCTTTTTCTCTCTCATTGTCTGCCTGTGATTTAATTTATTAATCTGTAACATACTAGAAGAAGACATTAGAATCTCAGTGCTGAAGTTAATGTTTAAAAAACAGATTGCTCAGTTAGTACAACACCAGGGAAGAAAAGAATATTGTCTGTCATTTTATGTGATCCATGTAAACAGAAGCCCAGGTGGTTCTCTCTGCCAGATCCGGAGGACATGTTTTATTTATTTACTTTTTTTTCAGAATTTTTTTGAAAATGCTGTTTTAAGTAACAAATTCATTATGATAGTTCACCAACCAGCAAGTGGATCTCTGTCTTTCTCTTCTCAAAATCTTGCCTACTGTACCCCTCATAGCAGATTCTCCTTTCTCATCACTAAGTAGACTTCTCAGGGAGGAGCTCAGACCTTCCAAATTTTTCTAAAAGTGAAGATTTCTGCTCCTTGCCTGAGTTCACCCTAAAAGTTATCAAAAAGAAAGATAAATTTATTGACTCTACATTTGAACTGCTTGGGTTGAAATTCCAGTAATATAACTTGCCAACAACCTGATATTAGGCAAGTAAATTAAACTGTCAAAACTCCAGGATTTTTTTTTCTTTTTTCTTTATAATAATATCTACCTTTTAGGAGCTAAGAGACAATCTAAATAAACTTCTTAGCATAGTGCCTGGCCTATATGTCCTCAGGAATTATTAGCTGGTGTTATAAATAGCCAGCTCTCTGGGTCTCAGTTTTTTTCTTTTATAGATGAGGAGATAAACTCATATCCAGATGCATCCTGGGACTGAGGTAACCCTCCCACAGGGAAGATACTGGTTGTTGATTGAGGTGGATTGCCATTGCTCTGAGGAGAGAGATATAGGCCCAGATCAGGACTACACACCTCCAGCTTAACTCAGGAGGCCTGGTCCCCAAGGACACGGCTTGCGGGCGTCGTTCAGTTATTTTTCATGGGAGTCAGTGCTGGTTTGTTTACTTTGTGTTCTCTGAGCCCAATAAGACAGATATAAAGACAGATGAAAAAGGCAGCTGACAGGGATGGGAACCTGGGAGGCAGCTTGTTAGAGGGGTAGGCCAGAAGGACTTCAATATATCAGTGATGATGGAAACCTTCTATATTTTTAAGGCTGATAGAGTAGACTTCAAGATTAAACTTGCTTTTTGTAAAATTGTCAACTTGTCTTTTTTTATTTTTTTTAAACTGGTAAGGAGATCGCAACCCTTGGCTTGGTGTCATCTGCACCAGACTCAGCCAGCGAGCGCACCAGCCATCCCTATATAGGATCTGAACCCACGGCCTCGGCGCTAGCAGCGCCGATCTCTCCCAAGTGAGCCACGAGGCTGGCCCAACTTGTCATTTTTTTAGTTCTCAAAGTACATACTTTGTTTAACAAATCTGTATTTGACTATTTTCAACTGCTAGTCATGGAACTGGGAATACAAAAAAATTAAGACAAGATCTTCAACCTCAAGTACCAGATCCTTTCAGAAAGGATAGAGTGAGAGACAAACATGAAAATAGATAGTTATGATACAATGTAGTTGTTTTAGTATTAAATGGTTATATGTGCATGGAGGCAGGTCACTTAATTCAGCCTTTTGGCATCAGAGAAAGCTCTGGAGGAGGAAAGATAAGTTGGAATTATGGAAAAGATGGAAAGATGAGGTATGGAGAAACCATATTTACCCCCAATGACATTCAGTTCAGTGCTGCTGAAATGGATTTGTAGGGATCACAATGAGAGAAAGAGAGGATTGAGCTTACTGTGATAGTCCCATTGATTCATACTTGTGTGCGGATTCTGTGTCAATTTTAAGCCCTGCTGGCCTCTCTAGGCCTCAGGCTCCTTGTTTTCTAAGTCATAGGGCTGCAGTCAGAATAGAAGAAGGGGTGTGGAGGAAGAACTTAGTCCCGAGTTACATATTAACATGTCTCACTTCTGCTGCTCATTCATAGCTACTTGGAGTTGCTATTCGCGTGGCTGTTACTGATTGAAATGATTCAGAATAAGTACAATTCGGGGCAATTGTCTTCCAAGACCCCACCTTCCTCACCTATAATGTGACATGGGGGAGGTGGAGCTGGATGTTCCCTAAGATTGCCAATACTGAGATCTACAATCAATCTGACACTAGGACAGAGCACTCTAACGTAGAGCACATTATCCACACAGCTCACTTACCATCAATGTGCCTTTGTTTTGCAGGAGAACTTTCTGCCACTGGAACATCTAGGTGAGGTCTCCACTTGTGCGGCCAACATTGTCATGATTTATTTATACCTACAAGACAGGAACATGGAATTATGTACATTTTAAGAAGATTTTAATGGACTTTATATTAACATTTTAACCTTCTTATGAAATCCAAAAATGTGATCAGAAGGCCACTTTTTTTTTTTTTCAGTCATATTTGTGAATAATACTCACTTAACGTCTACTTCGTCACAGGATGCATTTAGTTTGTGATCCATGTTAATTTATCTGCTTCCTTAAAAGTGCTCCAGGAGAGAACTGACCACTAATGACATCATCTTTTATAGGCTCCAATTAATTAATTCCCTCATTCCTCATTCCTCCACTCATACATCCATTTTAGGAAACGATTATTGAATGCTAACAAAATTCAATTCACAACACTAACTGCAGAAGAAAATTAACTTAAAAAAACAAAAAACAAAAAAACCACAATGCTTTTCTTGAAGAGCCCTCATAATATCTTACAGGAAAAGTAGATTATTACAATATGAGGTAGGAAATTAAAAGAGGCCTTTTTTTTTTTTCCTTTTTGTCTTTTTTTGGGACCGGCAACGGATCACAACCCTCAGTGTCGCGCCCGTACCGGACCGGGACCGGCAGTGGAATTGCAACCCTCGGTGTTGCTCCCGCACCTCGCTCAGCCAGTGAGCGGGAACCGGTCTGTATGTGGGATCCGAACCCTCGGCGGGAGCGCCGCCGTGCTCCCAAGCAGCACACTGTAGCAGTGCGCCACCGGGCCGGCAAAAGAGGCCTTTTAGAAAAGACAGAGATTATGTATTGTGAGAGTGTAGAAGTCTTTTTATATAAATGTTTAAGCTGTTATGTCTTTAAAAATAATTTTTAAAATTAGCCAAATATTACCATATGAAAGAGGCCTTGAGACTGTGAGGCTTTTGCTCTCTGTCCTGGCCTGGCCTGGCCTGCCCTGCATCTTGTGCCACACTCCTTTTGGTATTTTCTTGAAAAAGCCACGCGGAAGCAGCCACAATATTTTTACATGAATCATGCTGAGCTCTGTGCCTTTTTGGATGTTGATTTCTCTGAGATTTTGAGTAGTCCACAAGTACTTTTTATCCATTGTCTCTTTCCTCTCTGTCACATTACAGTCCCAAAGAGTGTCCCGAGCCTTCCTCGTCCAGGCCTTTCAGCACAGACCCCCCAAATCCCCTCTACTCTGAGCCACCAACCCAGATGGCACTGCAACCAGTGTACAGCAATGGTGAGGACTTTCTTTATTGATGGGGGGCTCCAGATTTGAACCTGGGAGGGTGGAGGAGCAACAGCCCATGGCCTCGTCATATCCAATTTAAAAATGACATTCCTAACATTATATTGGGGACAGTAGGTGGCTATAAACTTGATGGCTGGGAAGGAGAGTCTAGAATTTGGGCTCTTGACTATAGCCAACTATGATATTGTATCTTTTTTCACAGTAAATCCTGGAGATAGCAACCTGGTTTATTCCCAGATATGGAGCTTCCAGCATACAAAAGAAAATTCAGGTGAGATACCTTTCAGACAAGTAGAGGTGAGGTGGCAATCTATCATGATGAGCTTGCCCCTAGCACATTCCAAGAGGGATCTCAGGATGGAAAAGAGATGCTACCCTTGGGAAAAGAGATGCTGTCTTTGGGGAAACCCTTTATATCAGGGTTTCTCAGCTTCAGCACTTATTGACATTTGGACCTGGATAGTTCTCTGTTTGCAGGAGCTGTTCTGTACGTTTTAGAATGCTTAGCAGCACTCCTGGTTTCTTTGTACTAGATGCCTGTAGCACCTCCCCAAAATGTGACAACCAGCAAGGGGTAATCAGATCCAGTAAGAGGTCTTTGATCAAAGAGTCATCTTAGGGCCGGCCCGTGGCTCACTCGGTAGAGTGCGATGCTGATAACACCAAGGCCGCGGGTTCGGATCCCATATAGGGATGGCCGGTTTGCTCACTGGCTGAGCGTGGTGCTGACAACACCAAGCCAAGGGTTGAGATCCCCTTACCGGTCATCTTTTAAAAAAAAAAAAAAAAGAGTCATCTTAAACACAAGTCCAACATGGAAGGCTTTACCCGTTTCTCCTGTATTGTCAATCATATAATCTATCAACTCCCTCTTACCTGTCCACACTGCCACTATTACGCCATAAACTCTCTGAGGACAGACTCTGCGACTTTTTAACTAGTGTATCCATAGCATCTAGCTCATGCTTGCAAAACTGGAGGTCCTCTGAAATATTTTTGAATGAATTAATGAATTATTTTTTTGAATGAATTAATAAACACTAAATTAAGCCTCTCAAAATCTAATGTGTAGACAATTGTAATTCTCTTAACTGGTCTTTTTATTTCTAATCTTGTTCTCTTCCATTCTTCCAACAGTCTGTTTCCAGCATGATCCTTCTGAGATGCACCATTGATCATATCAGTGCCTAGATTAACTATCATCAGTGACTCTCCATTTCAAAGCATGACCCTTTCCTCTCTGCACTTTGACACCTCCTCCATCTTTGCCTTATGTCCTTATTCTACCAGTACTGAACTCTTGGCATTTTCATGCTTTGGCACTAATGCTTCTTATTTGTCTTGAGATGTCCTTGCTCCTCATTTACCTGGTGACCCCTGCTCACATTTGAGGACACAGCTCAGGTATCACTGTGAAACTTACAGTGATTCTCTCCTCTCCTCCCCAAATCCTAACCTCAGAGGAACTGATTACTCTTTGTGGCAACAGCATTGTTCAATATGTGTTTCCTCCTTGGTGCCCATAAATATTGCATTTGTTCCTATGTCTATTTCTCCCCTTCAAAATTGTAGGCTCCTTGATCATATGGACTGAGTTTCTGCCATTTCTGTCTCTTTATAACTTACCTAATGCCTACTAGAAGGTCATTGTTCAATAAATGCTTCTGGGCTGAATATGAATAAATAAATTTAAAAGATACAAAGAATCCTTTGGAAGGATAAAAGAAATGCACACACTGAATTTTCCTAATGCTCCACTGCAAATCTTTGGCTTATTGAGAAACTGCTGTGTGGTCTCAGAATGCCAACACCTTCTCTGGCCTCTTCCAAATTTCTTGTGTAAAGTGAAGTAAATCATATTTTCCTCCTTATCCCAGATGATCAATACAGTCATAGAGACCCATGACGGGTGAGGGGAGGTTCTCTGCTAGGGTTGTAACAAGCAGAGGAGCAAGAAGGAAATCATCATGAAAGTCGTTCTAGGCATTCGGTAGGCAGAGGAAAGGCTTTAATAGTGTGTGTATATGTTGAGGGGAGGAGGACTTTTTCTGTGAGGGCTTAGAAGAATTCAGCAGAGGAAACAGTCAGGAGACAAGTAGCAGAGGTAAGATTGGCTTGAAATGCATTGCAGGTAGATTGTAAATTGGAATATATTGCCCGCAGTTTAATACTTTTCTCCCATCCAACAGCAAATTCACCAAGGGTACATCGGGAGGATGAGGTGAGTCACATTTCCTGGCTTTCTTTTCTCTCTGCTCTTCCTCACTTGTGTTTAGGTACTTACTGTTTGTGGTTTTTTCACCAGGAACCAGCAGTCTTTTATTCAGAGTTGAAGAAGGTGCAGCCAGGTGACTCTGCAGGGCAGACCAGCAGTAGCGGCAGTGTCCACGAAGATGACACAGAAAACTACGAGAATGTCCCATGTGCATCATCTGTCTCAGCCCACTAGCCAATTAAATAATTACACAAGAAATTGTTATAATTTGTGCTTTAAATAGTTCTACACATTTTAATAACTAAAGTGAAAAATGCAATTTTTAATTTTCACCAGATATTTATTATCTACAGTGTTCTTAACTTTTTTCCAATGATGCACGTTATCTCTGGTTTCATTTCCTTTCAGCTAAAGAACTTCTTGTGGAGGTTTTTGTAGTATGTGTCTTCTGGCAACAAGTCTCTAAGTTTTCTTTACCAAAGGTGTTTTTTTTTTTTTTTTTCCATTTTTCTTTTTTGCATTCATTTTTATTTATTTATATAATGTTTAGATAGAAAATTATTTTCTGAACATACAAACAAAGGAAAACGTCATAAATTGAGTTTGAAGTCAATTGATAAGGAACAAATTTAACACACAAAGACTGACATCCTTAATACATCAAGAACTCTTAAAAATGAATTAGAAAATCTTAACAGAAATTTGGTGAAGGACACAAGCAGAAAGGTCACACACCCCAAAGAAACACATGTGGCTCATAAAAACATTCTAAGATGTTCTCCCAGATGGGAGAGGCAGCCCACATCCCCTGCTTCAGGACCCCTGGCATGTTCCCTTGCTTCTGCATTTATTTTTGAAGGATATTTTTGCTGGATACAGAAAATTGCTTTGATGATATTTTTTCCCCAATATTTTAGAGATTTTTTTTCCATTGTCTTATTTAGTCCATAGTTTCTAAGAGAAGTCTGTAGTCTTTAACATCATTGTTCTATAAATAATGTGGCATTTCTCTCTGTATACTTTCAAAATTTTGAATCTTTGGTTTTCAGCAGTCTGATCATTATGTTCTTGACATGATTGTCTTTAAATTTATCCCATTTAGGGTTCACTGAATTTCTTGAATCTGTAAATACGTGTTTTTCACTAAGGTTAAAAATATTTCAGCTGCAATTTCTTCAGATACCATTTTATGCTCAATTGTCTCTCTATTTCCTGCTGAGATTTCAAATACTGTACGTTATAGCACTTGATGTTGTCCCACATGTCTCTACATTTCTGTTCATTTTTGCCAAACTTTCTACTTTTCAAATTGAATAATTTTTATTGATATATTTTATTTTTTAAATTAAATTAAGTTTATATATTTTTGTTGTTGTTTTGTTCTTTTGTATTGGAAAATAATTGGTTATACACATTTGTGGGGTATGGAGTTGAATAGCAGTACCTGTGTACAATGTGGGATGATCAAACCAGGATAATTAGCATGTTCATCACTACTAAATGTAATCATTCCTTGTATTCATTAACCAATTTCTCACTAATCCCCTCCCCTCCCCCATTTCCACCTCTAGTAACCACAGTTCTGATATCTCCATCTGAAAGTTAAAAACAATATTGTGATTATTCTTTCTTTTGCTACCACTTATATGTGAGAACATGCAGTGTTTCTCTTTCTGTGCCTGGCTTGTTTCACTTACCATAATTTTCTCCAAGTTCATCCATGTTGTTGCAAATGGCAGACTTTCATTCTTTTTTACAGCAGAGTAGCATTACATTGGGTATATATACCACGTTTTCCTTATCTAGTCATCTGTTGATGGACATTTAGGTTGATACCATACCTCAGCTATTGTAAATAGAGCTGTGATAAAAATGGGTGAATAGTTATTCCTTTAACATGATGATTTCCATTCCTTTGGGTATATTCCCAGCAGTGGGATTGCTAGATTGTATGGTAGTTCTACCTATAGTTGTTCGAGGAACCTCCATACCGTTCTCTATAATGGCTGCACCAATTTACAGTCCCACTAACAGTGTAGAAGGGTTCTCCTTTCTCTCCTTCCTTGCTAGTATTTGTTATTCTTTGTCTTTTTGATAATAGCCAGTCTAACTGGGGTGAAAAGATATCTCAAAGAGGCTTTGATTTTCATTTCCCTGATGCTTAGTGATGTTGAGCATTTTTTCATGTGTCTGTTGGCCATTAGTGCATCTTCCTTTGAGAAATGCCTATTCAGCTTGTTTGCCCATTTTTTAATTGGGTTATTTGCCCACACTACCCAAAGCAATCTACAGATTCAATGCAATCTCCATCAAAACACCAATGCCATTCTCAACAGAAATAGAGAAAACAATCCTAACATTCATATAAGAACAACAAAAGATCCCAAAAAGCCAAAGCAATCCTGAGCAAAAGAAAAAAAATAAAGCTGGAGGCATAATGCTGTCTGACTTCAAATTATACTCCAAAATTATAGTAACCAAAGCAGCAAGTTACTGGCATAAAAAAAGACACACAGACCAGTAGAACAGAATAGAGAACCCAGAAATCAACCCACATACTTACAGCAAACTGATCTTCAACAAAGGCACCAAGAACACACATTGGAGAAAAAACTGTCTCTTTGATAAATGATGCTGGGAAAACTGGACATGCATATGTAGAAGAATGAAACTAGACCCATATCTCTCACCACATATCAGAATCAACTCAAAATGGATTAAAGAATTAAATATACATCCTGACATTGTAAAAACTTTTAAAAGAAAACATAAGGAAAACATTTCAAGAAGTGGGACTGGGCAAAGACTTTATGAATACAAGCTCAAAAGCACAGGTAACAAAAGAAAAAATAAACAAATGGGATTGTATGAAACTAAAAAGCTTCTGCACAGCAAAAGAAACAACAGAGTGAAAGACAACCTACAGCATGGGAGAAAATATTTGTGAACTATGCATACAACAAAGGATTAATACCTAGAATATACAAGGAACTCATAACAACTTAACAGTAAAAAAAAAAAAAACTAACTCAATTGGTATTAATTCTCTTTAAAGGTTTGGTAGAATTCAGCAGTGAAGACTTCTGGTCCTGGGATGCTTTTTGTTAGGAGACCACATGGAGTACAGACAAGTGGTAGATAAGAAGATATCAAGTAAGTTTGGGATCATAGCAGGACTATAGAGGGCATGCCATTCTCTAAAAAGTCTTTCTCCCCTCACTAGACTGGAAATTACATAGGCGGGGATCATGTTGGCTTTGTTCAACACTATATACCAGTGAGATAGAGCTCAGAACATGAGACACAGTAAATACTCAATATATAATTGTTGAATGAATGAGTGAATGAAGTCCCCCAAACACAGAAGCTAAGGAGATCTAAACTATTATAATATGGATGGCAAGTCTTAAAGCCTCCTCTGGTTTAGCCATAATGTCATCCTGTGTGCAGATCTATAAACGAGGGAACAATTTTGTTTCCTTAGGACCCACAGCAGAGGAAACAGCAATTAGCAAATAGCAGTGTCTTTGGCTTCCCCTTTTCAAAATCTTCTAGGCAGTGCTCATTGGAGCCACTGTGGACAGCCTCTCTTTTCAGACCTGAGCTGTAGGTCAAGAGGGCCTTCCTCTGAGTCTCCTGGAGCAGGACTCCATGCCGCTGTGGCCTTTGCTGCTGGTTCTAGGTAAGTGGACACCATGGAGCAAGACCTGGAAAGGATGGATCCTCAGCCTTTCCCAGAACAGTAGTCACAGATGCTCATAAAAGCTTTCTTCAGACTACCTTCAGGGAGTCTCTAGGCTTAGAGGGAACTGGGCAAGCTTTCCTTGGAATATAGGCCACTAGCCTCTTAAATAAGAATTTAGCAGCACATCAAAATAAAAATGATAGTAGTAGAATTGCTAATATTCATTGAGTACTCACTGGTAATCTACATATGTTAATCATTTTAATCTTTACACTGACTCCTATTGTGCAGGATTTGTGTCAGAATTGAAGACTATAAGGAAATTAACTCATTATATTTTAAAAACCCAAACGTCAAAATTTTGAATAAGAGAAATAATATAAACACAACAGTTACCAAAAGTATTAGAATGGGTATTAAAAAATCAACATCTATTTCTATAATAAGTATAATTTAAATCAGAAGAATACTTCCATAACATGATAAAGAATATGTGTTCTAGATTAACAGCCAGTATTATACATAATAGATCGGGTCTAAAATTGCCATTCAAATTGGAGCTAGAACCAAGATGCTTACAATCATCATCATTTGCAATAGTTTAAAATCCTGGCAACACACTAAATTACTAGCAAAATTAAAAGGCATACACATTGGAAGGAAAGATTTTAAAAATTATTCTTTACCCTCACCACATTTGATTAGCACTTGCTTGTTTGCTATGGTCGCTATGAACTAAACGGCCTCTGCTCTTGATCCTATCATCTATATGCTATAATTATAAATGCATGAATATGAATTAATTAGGGAGATTCAAGACAAATGTCCAACGTAGCGAAATCCTTGAATATTATCATTTACCAGTTTGAAATTATAATGAAGAAATTCTATCCAAAACTGCAAAGGCAGTGAAAAAATAAGAATAAGAGGGTTTTTTATTCTATTAAAAGAAATATGCAAAACTGTACTAAGAAAACTTCACTGAATGAGGATATATCATTAGTCTGGATAGGAACACTAGAGTAGAAATGTTATAAAAATCTCATTTCTTCTCCAGTTGATTTATAGATTCTCTACAATTTCAATCAAACTATGAATTCCAACTGTGGAATTGTCCTTAGAAGGCAACAACATGTTTAAAAGAGTATCTGGAAAAATGTAGTGGTGAGAATATCAAAGGATAGGTTTTTTTTTATTTTAAAGAACAATATTGGAAATGTAACTCATATGTTTATTCATATATTTAAAAAATAGATTCCACAGAAATATAGAAAAGATAGTATTAAACGTTTAAGATATAAACACAAATCAATGGAAAATAATAGCAGCCTAGGAATATATCTGACTACATATTACTTGATACATGACAAGTAGAAATCATCAAACAATAGATACTCACAGATTACACTATAAATTGAATAATAAATTTCAGATAATTAAGAGATAGGTGTATTTTTTAATTCTCTAAAACATGATGGAAAATGAAATTAAGTCTATTTTTTATATAGATTATGTCATGTTGAATATTGAAATAGTAGAAAAATTAGAGTTTTATAATCTAAAAATTAAAAATGTATATATTATAATAGTAACACAACTATAACAAAAACCAATGTTGAATTTGGAAAACATTTGAAGCAAGTAAGGCAAAAAGTTGAGATATGATGTAAAGGATTCATAAAAACTGGCAAGAAAAATTTGAAAACATTTTTGGGTAAACGGATGCAAATCATGATTATGTAACACACAAACACTCCCTCTAGCAGCTGCTTACTCTACCACAAGCTTCACAAAAACCATTGTTTATCCGCCAAACCCAGCAGAGTGCCTGGCACATAACTGACAATAAGTATTTCTTATATGAATGAGTAAATGCATTCAAGAAGTGCAGGTAGAGGTAAAATTTACAGTCATTAAATTTGTAACACAACAGCCTGAAAAGGCTAAATGGTAATTAACCAGTGTGGGGAGATAGGAAGAGACTGGCACAGTCACACATCGCTGCTGGATGTGGAAATGGTAAAGCTCATTTGGAAAGCCAGTTATGAGAAAATGACGTGCATTTGGACTCAGTAATTTGAGTCCAGCAGTCTAAAGTAAAGGGGTAAGAGTGGTGAAGATAATACACACAATGACACTCAATGTATTTTTTATAATACTGAGGAAACAAAAGACGACTACTAAACTGTAACATAACACGCGTTAAAACTAGGTTAAGATCTTATGCAACAGGAAAAATATCTGGAAGTAAATGAATAGTGAAACCAGAAAAGCTACAGAAATGAGAGTATGCATAAACTGTTTTACTTTTAAAAATATAATTAATATTTAAAGTACGTGAAAAATGTTAAAGGAAAAACAGTCTCAAACTTCATTAAATAGGCTCAACATTTTGTCTCTGACTTATTCCTGTCATATCACAAACTACATAAATGGTCTTTTCTTATTCAGTAAAAGGGAGAAGTTGAGTGTACTCTTTGACGCTTACTGTCCTCTCTGTTTTTTACTATTATAGGCCTACCACACTGTATTATAACAGCTTATTTACCTAATATCTTCTCCTTTAGACTGTAAGTTTCCTGAGGATAGGGGCAAGTGTTTCATTCTTCATGGTAACTACAGTATTTAGGCCCACATCTGTACAGTAAGTACTCACTAAACATTTGCTGAATGAATGAAAAAAGGAATAAACAAGGAAGTTGCCTTTACTGAGTGCTCTTGCAAAGACACTGTCCCCCAAGTAAGATCCTGGTGAGATCAGGTATCTGCTAAACCTATCTTTGGACACTAAAGCCATACCAGAGAGCAACTGGGGAAGATGAGCTGCTGAGAAAGGGAAGGGCTAGACATCACTCTCCACTGTCCTTCCTGCTTCTGTGCTATTCCACATGAGTGGCCGGGACCAAAAAAGAGAACTGCTAGAATCCAAAGGTTCTGATGAATTGGAGAAATGTCCATCAGCTGTTTGTGTTGGGGCAGAGTGACATGGAGAAAGCACAGAAGAAAAGGGAAAGTGTGAGAGTGGAGATAAGAGAGGAGTCTCTGTGCTGTGCTAATTTCTTATGCCTCTCTCTCTCTTGCAGTTCCTGACAGAGGAGAGTCCAGTAAGTTCCTATCTTTTTTTTCTATGTGGCTTTGGAGTAATGGTGCCCAGCACAGGAGCCTGGGAAGCATGTGGCAGTCCTCGTCCCCAACAGCTACAGGGAATTGTACTCCCTTCCACCAAACCCAGTCACTGCAGTCCTGTCTACATCCCTGTGACACCTTCCTCCTCTGCCCTGATCCAGACTGCAATTTCTGACCCCTTCTGCAAAGGAAGGAGGGCATGCCTGACAAAGGAAAGGCAGGCACCAAGACAGTCTGTTCACCCAGGCATGGTGCATTAAGGATCCTGTGGGATCCACAGCTGGAATTCCATACTAGAAACAGAGAGGTAGCTCTGAAAAAAAATACTCACAGAAACTAACATCCAAATCTTTGGTCCAGGCTCAGAACAAAATCCTGTCATTAGCTACTTTTTTACCTACAAACTCACATTTGATACTGACTCTGTTTCAACATCTTAACCCTTAGTCTGAACGAATCAGAAGCTACTTTGGATACAGAAGGAGTAACATTCTGTCCCAGATATTTGCTCACTTGTTCTGATCCATTTCAGGCCCTCAATCTCACAAAAAAATCATGTTAAGAAAATCCCATAACTATCTCAGAGTATATGCACTCCCTGGTTTCCTGGCCACACCCAAGCAAGGGATAAGATTTTTGCTAGACTATTCAAACATAGGGGTTTTTTTCCCTGTCTTGCTCAATCAAAGAACACAGTTTAATAGAAAGAGTGTGGTCTTAAAATTCAGATTCAATGAGTTTTATCTTGTTCTATTACTTTCTAGCTCTGTGGCCATGGGCAAAATGACCTGCACCTCAATTGATTATTTAAAAAGAAAGCATGATGATAATGATCCCCTGGGTATTCCCGAGGATTCAATGACCTCATTGAATAAAGAGCTTTGTGTCTGGTGAGATAAGTGGAGGCTTATTTCGTGTCAGATTTTTTCCACCAGTGGTCCAACCACAAGCTGTACTGCTCCTCCATCCTCCATGGACCACAATCTTCCAAGGTGAGGTGGTGACAATGATGTGCAAAGGATCCTCCTATCCCCAAACAGAGAAAGCATGGTGGTTCTAAGAGGGAAGTTGGACTAGAAATCTCCATTCAAATGTGATTCATTTGGTCAGTCTTCAGAAATCACCTGCTCCTCAGTGAAGGGTGAACACAGGCAGGAACAGGTATAACTGTCACTGGGGAAGCTATGAGCAGGTGGAGTTTGAGGGAAAAGTGGATGCAAGATATTGTTACATGTGGAGAAAAATTAAGGAATGAATTGAGTGTCCTCTCTCTGTTGCAGACTGGCTGATTCTCCAGGCCCCACACTCTATCTTTGAAGGCGATAAAGTAATTTCGAGATGCCGGGGAAGGCAGGAAAAGAAATCAGAAACGATTTACCACAAAAATGAAAGAAAAGTTGGTGTTTTTACAAGAAACTCAACTTTCTCCATACCAAGAGCCATCTCTAGCGACAATGGCTTGTATAAGTGCACTGCTTCTCAGAAAGGTTATGTATGGAAAAAAACTTCAAATCTTGTAAGGATCAAAGGTGATGGCTACACTCCAGGAGTAATAGAGTCGGATGCAAACAAGGCCTGTCAAGGGCTGGGACTACAGACAGTGTGTTCATCAAAGGCCTGTGGGAAGCCAAGGGTGGAAACTGACAATTCAGTTGTGTCAGGGAGTGGGTGGCAATTCTGTGGACTTGGTTCTATAACACCTGTTTGCTGGTGCTGAGAACACAGATGCATCTCTCCAGGAGCCCCGAGCCTCAATGCCCTAGGGACTGTGTTTTTTCTTCTTTCTAGAGCTGTTTTTACTTCCTGTACTGTCAGTCAGCACCGCTAGGCCCACGGAGGGGAGCCTCGCGACCCTGACCTGTGAGACCCGGCTCTCTCCACAGAGATCAGATGTCCAGCTCCAGTTCCGCTTCTTCAGGGAAGTCCAGGCACTGGGGTCAGGCTGGAGCAGCTCCTCGGAGCTCCAGATCCCCACCATGTGGAGTGAAGACTCAGGGTCCTACTGGTGTGAGGCAGAGTCCATGACTTCTCATGTTCAGAAACAGAGTCAAAGATTCCAGATGTTTGTGCAGAGTGAGTTTTGGTAAAAAAGGGAGATTGGGGCCAGGCAAAAGAGGGTAGAGCAGGGGCATTGTTCAGACCTTAGTTCCTTTTTTCCTATATGTAGGTAACAGGGATCTGTTCCAGAGAGATTCTGATGTTGTCTTGATTTCCTCTGCTTTCTGCTAGTGCCTTAAGAGGTTATCAAGAGACTCCCCAAATCCCAACCCTTCAGGATGTTTGCCACATCCTTCTAAACTCGATATTTCCTATTGCAAAATAATCACATATTTAGCAGGTGTCCATAGTTACACTACAGAAGCTGTGGAGGACACAATGTCATATGAGGCCTAACTTCTATAGACAGGAAGCTGAAAGTCGGCTAGGTAACAGCCTATTAACAAATCTAACACATGAGATTAAGAGAACAAGGAGACCTATATGGATTGGAGGAATCAGAGAAGACAGTGTTGAAGCAGGAGGCCTTGAGCTAGTGCTGAAAAGATGGGGGAGTGGGCAATTTACCATCTTGTGTGATGTCACATCAGAGGATGGCTAATATTTCCCAGTATCCTTCCTAGCCCTCAATGCAAGACCTCCACCCACTGAGTCACCAGACTCATGCCCAAATACCTTTCCCTGGAGTTGCCCACCTGGCCCCGTGGGGGAAACAGATCCCCTAAGCACACAGACGAGATGAAGAAGTTCGTGTAACTGAAGGCTGAGAGGTGGAGATCTCGCCTCCTCGCTGAACTAAATTCAGAGCTGACACCCACCAGCCTCAATTCTTACTCTGCAAAGATCTCTGTGTTTTGGTTTTGCTCCAAACTTTTTCAGCTCCATCTGCCATCACTTACAGTGACAACAACCACTTCACCCCTAGTGTTCCCCACAGTCAGTCCCCATTTGCTGTCTCCTGTTCATGCAGGGATCCCTGTGTCTAGAGTGCTCATGGAGACCCAGCCCCCAGGGACCCAGGTGGTTGAAGGGGAGACTCTGTTCCTTGTCTGTTCTGTGGCTGAAGGAACAGGAAACACCACATTCTCCTGGTGCAGAGAAAACAAAAAGGAGAGTCTGGGGAGGAAAACTCAGCATTCCCAGAGAGCAGAACTGAAGGTCCCTGTCATTAGGGAGAGCCATGCTGGGGGATACTACTGTACAGCTGACAACAGCCACGACCCCGTGCAGAGCGAGGTGGTGAATATCACTGTGAGAGGTGAGTCCCACCCTCCCACAGCTTAGCCAGAGGTTCTCACACTGGGCTCAGAGATTATTATAGGGTCACGAGGACATTTTAAGTTGATCACAGGGAGCAGAGCTATGAAGAGCTATTTCCTTTCTGGCAAAGGCAAGCTTCCAAAAATAAATAGCTGCTTTAAAAAAAACTACAAGTTTGGTTGAGATAGAGAAAATAAAAAATAATAAGATGAAAAAGACAAAAGAACGTGATTGCATCCAGCAGGTCAGAGAAAATCTTAGAATTCATCCTCACAGTCCTTATATAAAAGCTTCTGAAGCTGTACGGTCCAATATAGTAACCTCTAGCCACATGTAGCTATTTAAATTTAAATGAATTAAAATTAAAAATCCTCTTCTTCCTTCACACGAGCCACTTTTCAAGGTCACAAGAGCCACAATGACTTGTCGCTACCTCAACAAACAGCACAGATGTAGAACATTTTCACCATCTGAGAAAGTTCTGTTGGACAGTACTGATCTAAGTAAGGATTAAATTTGGATGTGGGACAGTGAAATTTGAGAGTGATGGGGGATGTGTTATTATGCTGAGTGGATACAGGAGGAGGTTGTGAATTGTTAAGCAGAAGAGACCCTTTCTGACAGCCCTTTTGTCTTCCTGAGTTCCAGTGTCTTACTCTGTCCTCACCTTCAGGGCCCCCAGGGCCCCAGGCTGTGGTAGGGGATGTGGTGGAGCTTCACTGTGAGTCCCTGAGAGGCTCTCCCCCAATCCTGTACTGGTTTTATCACACGCCTGTTACCCTGGGGAACAGCTCGGCCCCCTCTGGAGGAGGGGTGTCCTTCAACCTCTCCCTGACCACAGAACATTCTGGAAGCTACTCCTGTGAGGCTGCCAATGGCCTGGGGGCCAAGCGCAGTGAGGTGGAGACACTCAGTGTCACAGGTGGGTCGGTTGAGACTGGGCTATGGGCCATAGGCAGACTTATGTCTCCCTCCAGAGGACAGACTCCAAGAGTGCCAGTCTGTGAAAAGGAGTATTTGTCTATGGACAGTTTAAGATGGAATTTTCTCAGTGACTTATAATGGAAATGGAGATTGGAGATTGTGAAATAACATTAGTGGTTGGATGCTTTTCTCCTCCTCACATTAGCCTGAAAGGAGTGGACTGCACTCCAGGTCACTGAGCAAATAACTGAACATCCACTTAGCCATTTCTAACTAGGTTAAAAGTCACTGGCATCCCCTCCCTCTACAGTGTCTGTAAGATTCCAGCCTAAATCCCTTCCCGCTGAGGCTCATACACAGGCCTCTCTTCCCAGAGCCAACAAAGGACAAGTGCTTCCTTCCAGCTGTGTTGACGGTGGTGCTGCTCTGTGTCCTGCTGACTGCTGCTTTGTTCTTTTACTTAAGGCTCCAGAGGAAGTCAGGTCTGTAACTTCTGCTTTTACTATCTATTGCTCCATCATTTATCACCACCAAAAGTGCTGCTTCTGTGCGGCAGAGAGCATACATGTGTTGGGGAAGCTGTTGCCCTGTGGATGGGGCTGTCAGTTAAAGTAAGTCAACCCTCTAATAAAGCATTCAACGTACATGGGGTCAAGTGAGGCTGAAAGTGTTTAACCTACACTTACATATTTAAATGTTTTTCTTCAATAGAACTCTTTAACAAAATAGCTATCAATTAGAAATGTAATCCCCATAAAAGATGCATAAGAAAGAGAACTACAACATGCAGCTAAATTTTAAAAAGAAATATTCTGAGGATTCTAAGTATTACATAACATAATACAATGTGTATATTAAGCATAATGTAAGCATATTAAGTATAATATATTATAATATAATGCATAATAAACATAATATAAAAACAAACATGCATAATTACATGTAATAATATATAATATTAATAGAGCTTTGGACTGGAATTAAGGAGATGAGTTCTAGCTGCAGTTCGGTCACTTGCTGAGAATGTTTTGACAAAAACACTAAGAATTAGAGAACAATGAAGTACAAATAGAGAATCAGGCCATTGAAAAACAAAGTCAGCCACAAGCTTGCTTGCTTCATTTTGTACTCATACACAGGTCACAGGCTCTCTCTCTGGGTAGAAGAATAGTGCAGGCTGCCTCAAGTCTGCCTCTTCCTCAATGCTTAGGTTAGGATCAGAGGCTTCCACAGAAGTCTTGAAGAGGGCCTCAGCTGAGCCAGCCTGGGGTAGGAATGGCACATGTCCCATCCTTTGCAGGAATGTGGTTGGAGGAGTCAACTCCACCCAAACCTCATGAATAAGCACAATCATCAGCTAATAGGTCGGGGGTCCTTCCCCAAGGAAAGAACATTTTATTGGGCAAGTAAGGCCCGTTAGTAGCTTGGGAATAGGCAATCAGATATCACTACTGGAACTTTACGAAGTTCACTCGTCCCCAAATTTATATAGGCTAGGTCCTTTAACCACGATGAAATAATGACTATTCCTCTCCAAACTCAGCCTCCCCCCATCACTTTTTCAGTACTTACATAAAAGAAAAGTTGTTAATCCTAAGAGAGGCTTTCGATGTTTTTCTTTGGGGACTCTGTCTGATTCTTTCACCTTCTTAAAGGCTCTTGTAATATCATGACATACCGTGCTTAGTAGATGAATTAGGGAGCCTCCAACATATTGGTGCCAGTGACAGCACTTACATCTTTTAGGTGCCTTCTGGATATCCAGCAAGCTCACATTGGAACAAGTGCCAAAAATTAGGTTAAATCCTACATAACACATAGGGAAAAGGAAAAGGACCTCAGCCTTTACTAATTTTCCCCCCAGTCACAAAGGAGGCTGTTAAAATGCCCCATACCAAAAGAGATTGCACAAGGCCTCCAGAGCCAAGTGTCATCCACCAGATACTAACCACAGGGACAAAAGAGAGCCCCAAGCACACCAAACAAGTGAGACACATTTTAGAGCTCCATAGCCCTGAAGTAACAAGGGGTTTTAGAGAGCTATAAAGTGCCCTCATTGGAGGACAAAGGAAAGAATACAGACTCCAGCAGGGTAGCGGGTACTCTCAGCAGGGAGAGTACCTGTTATAGTTCATAACAATTCCATTTAAATATTCACCTTTTAAACCTTCCAGGTGGGACTATACATTACCTGTGCAAAGAAAATCAGCGATGATCAAATAATTACAATCCTCAAGAATTCAAAAGTGTTGGTCCCTTAATTTCAAAACAGCTAGTATGTTCTAAATTTATGTCATAGAATTGCACTGAGTTGTGCCTGTTTGGGATACAGGACAAAGTCTCAGACTCTTAAAACTGGAAGAAACCATAGAAATCATGTCAGGGTCACCACACTATCCAGGGGACACAGTCACATTAGAGTCTATATAGATAGCACCCTACAAAGTTATGCAACATGGCCCAGGATTATGTCACCACTTAATAAATCTGGCAGCACAACAGAACTAGGAAAAAAATCTCACCCTGGACTTACGGAATCTGAATTTCTGGAAATGAGGCCCAAGAATCTGTACTGATTTAAGTTCCCTTGGTAAACCAAATGCACAGCCAGGTTTGGGCTAGTTTGAGCTAATTAGTAAAACTATGATTAATAATAATAATAATAATGGTAAAATAATAAAAGGAAATATTGGGTGGTTATCATGTACCAAATACTATGAATATCACTTAGCATGCATTAACTAATTTAATTTTTGTTTGAGAGGTATTATTATTACCGTTATCCCTATTTTACAGATATAGAAATAGACACAGGGAGGTTGTTACCTAAAGTTGCCCAGCTAGTAGCTGGCCCTGAACTTACACTCTAATGTGTCACTCTGTAGTCATAAAGAATAAACCAGGTTCTAGAGAAGCTAAGTGGCTTGCTTAAGTTATACAGTCAATATCCAGATCACTAAATTTTCCAAGTGTAAAGCACTCACCATCTGCCCTTGGGAAGACAGGCATTCCACATTTTTTATTTGTTCCATGAACATAGATTGAGCACTAAACGTGTCAGGCACTGTGCTAGGGGCAAGAGACACCATGAGAATTAACACCCAGGAATACTCATACAGGTGGTCATGTGAAATGTGGAATGCTTATCCTGGCTGTAAGCCTCTCAGCAAGGTGCAGCACACATCATCCACTGACACCAGAATGAGTGGACCCCTTTCATGCCCAATCCAGCCTAAAAAGAGAGCTTCCTTCTTGGCTGACACTAATTCTTCTCTGCTTTGAGAGGGTGGGTGCTGGTACCAACCCTCACAGGTGAGGCATCTGTGGAGAGTCCGCATTTATTTGTTGGTTCATTTATTTAACATTTTTTTGCATGTACTATGTGCTAAGAACACTGGGGTTCTCCTTCAGATTTATTTAGCACTTAGAATAGAGAACTTGGGAAATGGCTCAGAATAGAAACTTGAATGTGCCATGTTCATGCCCCTCCCATTTTCTGGAACTGAGCACATGCTATTTTCTCCTGTAAAAAACCCTTCTGTCACTCTATCCTCTATCCTTGTCTAACTCCTACTTCTTCAAATTTCAATTCAAATGTCCTTGTCTCTGAGAAGTCTCCACTGACGGCTCCCCCAAACTCCACTTTCAGAACTATCACAATTCCTAATAATAATAATAATAGCTAATCCTTAGCATAACACCTATGGTATGCCAGGCACTCTTCTAAGTGCCTTACATATGTCAACTGTTCTCTAAGTGCCTTACATATCTTAAGTATTGTACTGAGGAACTATGCACTGAGAGGTCACACAACTAGTTAAATGACAAAGCCTAGTTGTAAAGGAAGCAGCCTTGTTCCAGAATCTGTACAAAAATGCCATAGATTTAAGAAAATATCTTATGACATATTTTGGAATACAAAAAAGAAAGTACTACTTTAAATGTATACTAAAACCTCACATTGAAGATAATTGATATGTATTTACATAATTACATTCCATTTTCTTCCTGAATATCACATTGAACCTTTGTGCCTAAGACTTTCTCAATCAGAGTTTGAATCTTCTTCTGAACCACTTGTCTAACAGCAGATTGACACCTTTAGATTTGATGATATGTAAAAATTTGAGGCATGTCAAAGAGTACAAAGCTTTCTTGTTTGTTTAAAGACTCAGTTTCATTTTTTTTCCTTGAGTAAATCTCATATTACTGAAAGTTAAGCATCTTTTCTGGGACATTGACCCCCAATGTGATAAAAAGATACTCAACACAATCTACACCTTTGAAGAAAATGATAATGAGTAATGCTAAAATTTCCAACCAGGAGATTCCTTTCCTCTGAACTTGACTCAGACATTCCCAGCATAGATTCCTCTTGGCCTTACCAAGCCACAGGTATGGCCCCCGATAGGCTTCATCCATGCTGCCAGGCACAAGTGGACCAGGCATCAGGCTACCAACCTTGCAAGACTGTGTCTTCCTAAGTACTGGATTCCCCAAACCCTGTCTACCCCATAGCCCCTTTGCCAGCCCTTCTCCCCTTCTTTCTGATTCACTGTCCCAGAGACTGACACATATTTTTGTGCTTTCCAGCCCAGAGGTCCAGGAGAAGATCAACTCCAACTCACCTTCCCTGGTGCAGGGACTGGACCCTGTGTACAGTAATGGTGAGTACTCCTGTCAGGTAAGAGCTCCAGGAGAAGAAAGGTATAGAGTTAGGGTCCAAGAGGTGAAGCTTGTAGGGATATGTTTGACACCCCAGGTACTGCTGAGACTCATTTAGGGGGTGCCAAAGTAGGTGTGGAGCAGGTGGTTGTGAAAAGTGCCTGTGTGAGCTCTTTGCCCACAACCCCTGTTTAAACTTGTCCCCTCTAACCTCATCCCTCTTTCAGTGAATCCAGTGTGTTTGGATGTGATTTATTCCCAGGTCTGGATTGTCCATCAGGGACAGGAGAGTGCAGGTGAGCTTTGGGGTAGTGCATCTGATTCTGATGATGTCTTTGCCAGAGCTGGGGGGGAGGCCTGCTGCTGGCTTGGCAGAGCCCTTCAGAGCAGTGGCTGCTGCCCCATTGGCATTACACACCAGAAGAGAACGTGGGTCTCTGCTGACAATTGTCTCTTTCAGAGCCTGCTGCAATTGGCACCTGTTTCCTGGTCTCAGAAGACAGGCTGATGTCCTGTGGGATGAAGTTTAAGGACTGGGTTGTATGAAACCCATTCTTTTTCACGGCTCATTATTTTCTATTTTCTCCCCGGCAGAGCACCCGGGAACACCTCCAGAAGGCAAGGTAGGTCTGAGTTCCCAGCTTTTCTTTCTCCGGGACTCGCTCTCCCTAAACAAAGTTGCTAATTCAGTGCATTGGACAAGTGGGCCCTCAGAGAACATTAGCTTCCTGTCTCCTCTTGAGCTTTTTCCTCCTCAGGATTCCTCCATTGTCTATTCCAAGGTGAAGCAGCAGCAGCTCCCAGGAGCCTCAGCTGAGCAGGCCAAGGCATGAGGGGGCCCCAGTAAGATGTCCTGTGGGCATGTCTTGACCTTGACTCAGATTCTCAGGGCCTGGAAGGGCCAACCAGGGCACCTGGGCTTCTCTCCCAGAAGGCCTCAGCCATCAGTTTCAAGGAAAATGAGAATGATCTGCCAGCAACTCAACAGGAAAGATCAGTGGCTAAGACAGCGTCCCTGAGGATGCTGTAGAAGGTTGTGAGAACATACAGTTCTCATGACCTGCTCATGACCCAGACTCTGCCTTTTCTTCAGAGACCAGAGGTTGCCCCTTGGAGCCATCTTTCCAGTTCTCTTTACCAGTGCGCATCCCTCCCCGCACCCCAATTCCCCCAAACTCCACCATTCCCCTCAGTGGTGAGCCAGGAGAGCCAGGGCCACAGAGTGGACACAAGCAAAGGGGCCCGTGTGAGCAGGAGCTACCCGAGCTGTGTGGAGCCAGACCAGTGCACACAAGCAGGAACCTTGGGTCAGGCCACAGCAGCACATCTTCAGGGCCCTCGGGGGAAACTCTGCCATGATCCTTGGGTTCAGCTGTGACAGAAGGCTCTTAATTTGTTAAGCAATGTGCAGAGATGTAAATCCCATCACCACACCACAAAATATGTGTCCCTGTCAGACGTTACGATTCAGCCACCCAGAGAATCTTCCTGCCACAACAAGATTCGGTTCTCCTTAAAAACAGCGAAAAACCTGAAAGTTCTCCCTAAAAACCTGAATAACGATCCCGTCACTTGCCTGTCTTGCCCTCTTTGCTTTCATCACAAGAAGACCAAAACCCAAATTTTAAACCCATTTAACAACTGGGTAGGACTTTCTGGCAAACATGTTATGTTCTAACTCTATTTTGGGTTTTTTTTATTTATTTTATTTTTATTAGTTCACCCTGTTTCCTTCACACTTTACTTCTCCATGGACGTTTAAATCTTGATTATCATATATATTTTTATCATCTGCCTCATGAGGTCAGTGTAAATAAATATGTTCAGTATGATGTAGTGTAAGTAGTTTCTCATTGAAATAAGAAAACTAGTCATAAGAAACAAACTGCTGAGATCACTCTTTGCATCAGCCATATACTTATATATCCATCTGCTTATACTACAGTGATAAAGTCATACTACCTTATGCTACATTTATGTAGCTTAATTATATGAAAAACTACCTCCAAACCATTAAGTTCCTAGCTAACAGGTTCCCTCCCTCACTCTACTTCCTATCTTTAAAACAATTAATTCTCAGTACAGTTTCTAGATCAACTTTCAACTTGACATCAATTTGAAAGAAAAAAAATTGACTTTCTTAGGCAATTTGAGCATGAACATTCTTTCTATAGTTTTTTAGATATACTAACAGCCTTAATTTCATATCCATTCAATCCTTAGTCCTAGAAATTTCAGATAATTATGAAATAAAGCTTTCATAACAAGAAATATGAAATAATTGAGGCAAATATGAATCTGCCTTTATAGGAAGTTTAATGCAACAGTCTCTGGAAGCACAGACCTATCTCTCTCCTTTCTTTATGACAAATTTTACAGTCTCTGGTCCCTCAAATACCACAGACTGTCTCTCCTGTCTACTTTGTCCCCCCCTTCACTCCCCACCATATACCATTCATCAGCCTCTTTACTCTTGATGGCAGGAAAAATTTAAATTCTTGAATTGCTTCCAAAAACTTGTTTAGGCAAAGTAGGCAAGAGGTATGTTTCTGTAAAAGGGGGGGAAAATCCTAAGAAAAAAGCAATGATGGGTCAAAATAGCCTCTGATTGCTGCAGAAATAATAAAAATGTTATAGACAAAGGCATGATGGAAAAAAAATTAAAGAAGAAAAGAAACTGACATATGGTGAAATAGAGGCACAAAGGACAAGGTACACAAAAAAGAGGACATATTTGGAATAAGAGCATCTGCCCTCCACCCAGCAGAGTTTGCCTCTGTGCTTTGGGCCTAGCAATCTGACCTACACCCAACAGTAAGTTATAAACCAGTAAGATATAAAAAGAAGATGAGGATCTGAGAATATCCAGTTGGCATAGTGGTTAGGAAAGATTCTGCAGAGACTTAATAACAATGTGAGTACTGTGTGAGGTATATTTAGGGATTGATTCTTTCTGTTTTATGAAGAAAGGAGACACAGCAGGGCAAAAAGAGAATAAGATTTGGACCAATGGGAAATGCTGACTGCAGCTTGCCAGTTGTCCAACCTTTGGATCTTATTACCCTTTCTAAACCTCAGTTATCTTATCTATAAAATGGAAGCAAGTGCTCCTATATCATAGGGTTGTTGAAAGATTGAACGAGAGCTTCTAAGAAATGCCAATTGCAAAAAAGGTATATAATAAATGGTAACTCTAAATGGTAAATGGTAATTCAGATCATTGTTGTTATTCTGGAAAATATTGTCCCTTATGGACATTCCAAAAGCAACTTATTAGGAGATCTCTAGTGACTTTTACCATGTTGCTGCCACCATCTTTTTCCGTACTGGATCTCCAAATACAGGCCCATATGTAGACTCCTTGACACATTTGTACATCCTAAGCATGGAAGTGACTCTGCAGAAAGCACAAGTTTCTTCTTCCAATCTTCAGAGAATATTTTAGTCAGAGTTCTTGGTTCAAGCAACAGAAACCAATTCCAGCTTTCTTTTCAAAAAAGAGGATACTTTACTGGAAGGATGTCAGCGACTCAGAAAATTGGAGGGCTAAGTAAGCTTAGAAAATGAGTGGAAAAAAGAGAGAGCTGGTGGCTCAAGCAGCAGGAACCACTGCAAATGTCATGCTACAGAAATGTTGTGATCCACATATTGATCCATCCACAGCAGTGTCTTCACACCCTAGTGCCACCAGCTCAAGCTGCAAAGTCCTGGGATAGAAATCTGACTGTCTGGCCTAGGTCTATCTTTGGACAGCATAGGGGAAAGGAATGGAAGAATCTTGTTACTTGCACTTTTACGATGAGAGGCTGCATTATTCTCCACCAATACCATACATCGGGGGAGTTGACCTAAAAGGAAATCAATGAAATGAAAAAAATAAAACAAACCAAAAAAAAAATTGCAAGGGTATTTTAAAACATTTTCTTTACTCCCTACTTTTTACTCTGAAATAGGAGAATTTTTGATTTGATGTGTTTTGTGATCCTTATTTAAAAACTACACTTGCTGGTGTGACTTACCCCCAATACCTAATCAATTTCTGTTTACTTCCTTAATTTATGCCATTCTTACTTCCTACAAACCAATAACTCCAATCTGGCTCTGGTAACCAACAAAACTTGTGCTGAGATAGGAACTCCACCCAATTGCCAAGAAATGGACCAGGAGACAAGTTTAGAAAATCCTCCAAATATCTGAACCTAAGAAATGTCTTCCTGAACTTGAGAGAGCACTATATTCAGAAGTAACCACTGGGTGAGGAAGGGAGAAAAGGAAGAGACCTTAGGTCCAGTCCTCCTCTTTCAGGCAGAATTCTTTTCTGGATAGTTGATGGTTCAGTGTTCTTCATCCCTTTGCTACACCCAACTTTTTTTTTCAGCCATAAGTTATTCCATGATGTGGAGATGATGCAAGAGGGGTTACTCCAAAACGGGTTCAAAACTTTAGGGTCCCATACAGAAGAACTTCTCTGTTAAAGAGGAGTGGATCATCCTGCTGAGTTGAGAGAGCTGTGGGAAAGCTTCTTTCTTGAGGCAAAGTCTCCTTGAGAACGCCTCTCTCACTGGCCTCCTGACATTTTTATCGTCTCTTTTTTTGCCCCTGACTTACTCTACCAAATCCTGAACCAGAAGCAAAGACAGGATAGTGAATAGGTTTTTCCCCTCCCTATTCTGTGTCCCTATTAAGTATACTGTTCATTCAAGCATTAATTCAACTAGACTGCATTTAGGCCACTTTGCTTAATACTATGTATTGACTCTGTAGGAAATATAAAAATCCTAATACACACATATTTACAAATGAACACATTGTTGTTTCATATAATGTTGTTAAATAAGTTAGTTGCAATTAGAAATCAGGAGATTTCACATAAAAATATGTATTTTGGACTTCTCTTAAAAAGTTGGAAAATCAGGTAATACCAGATCTTTAGACCTGGTTACAATACTCAGAAGTTGAATAGCTGCTGCTACCTTCAAATGGAGTGTGTGTTCTCCAGTCGACTACAGTCTCTACCACTCCCTGTCGTCTTCCTGACACTGAAGCCAAGTGACAGCTACCGTTCAGTCTCTCAAATTTCCAATTGTCTTACTTACCGTGGATTTAAGAAGAGAGTGACTTTTTACCCCTGTCTCTACTAAAAATGGGAAAAACAAAATAGAGTAAAAGAACTTGCGGTTTTAAGAAAAAAGGAAGAGATGGTTTCTTTGTGAAAGTAGAAAATGTTTCTAAATATATATGCAAATAAAATGGGTCTTTGTTGATTAAATACAAATAAAGGTATCCTTATAAATAAGTTATAATAAGAATTACAACAGGCTAGAGAAAGATGCATGTTGAAGAACATAATAAACTGAAAAATAAAGAACTGAACTTTAAACTGGGTTTCCTTTTAGAGTTCATAAATTAAATAGTACCACTTTAAAATGTAGTATGTATTAGAAGAAGTTTTCCATGCACAAAAGCTTCCACAGAGGTCAAATCTTTAAAAGAATGTCTATTTTTAAAAAAAATTTTCAGTGGCAAATAAAAATTGCATTAATTTATGTATACAATATGATGTTTTGATGTATGTATACATTGTGGACTAGTTAAATAAATCAAGCTAATTAACATATGCATTACCTCATATACTTATCATTTTTTTGTAATAAGAACACTTAAGAATCTACTCTCTTAGCAATTTTCAAGTATATAATATATTAACTGTAGTCACCATGATCTCTTGCACTTATTCCTCCTAACTGAAAGTTTGTATCTTTTGACCAACATCTCCTCAACCCTCTCACCCCACAGCCTCTGGTAATCAGCATTTCAGTCTCTGCTTCCATGA